AAAAAAGTAACTTGCGTTACTTATTTGAAAATGTAACTCAGATATTCTCTTGTAAATTAAAAAGTAATGCGTTACTTTACTAGTTACTTGAAAAAAGTAATCTGATTACGTAACTCGCGTTACTTGTAATGCGTCACCCCCAACACTGTATTTTATTATATCATATTGATTACAAGGATTTGTCACCTTGCCTTTTTTACTGGCTTGAAAAGAAATGTAAAGGACAACTGGCCTTCTTTCAGTAAAATCCAATTACAAATCGAAGCATCGAGACACATGTTAAATCCAGGTGTAAACAGCAATCTATTTTGGCTGACACCAAGACAGATGTTAATACCAGGTGTAAACAGGGCCTCTGTCCTTTCACTGTCCCTGTTTTTGCTTCCATCCTCTCACTATCTCTATTTGTCTCTGTTCTCACACCATCTCTAGGGAGGCCATGCATGTGTGGAGTGTTTTGATATAAGAACTCATTTTCCTAGTTCCAGTCAGCACAGAGAGACATATATCCTAATATGTACTGTGTGTTATCCTCCACGGGGCCCCCCATAGGCTTCCATGGTAATTTCCATAGCGAATTCATCAAACACGACAGAGAAAAGAAAAGGATAAAGTCAATTCATTAGCCAGATATGATGACAAATACCTATTCGGTGAAAGAGAGGGACATTCTCATTAAAAGCTCAAGTGTGTGTGACTAAACCGAATGAGTCTAGAGAGATGTTCTACACATGTAAAACGTTTGTGGTTACTCTGTGTACTGAACTTTCAGCAGCTGATCTTCAGAAGTCTTTCTAATTATGCTGATTTGGTGCTCAAGAAACATTTTTTTTTATTATTATCAATGTAGAAAACAGTATGGATAAGAATGTATATCTGTGGGTTTTTAGCCTTTCATTTGGGTGTAAAATACACTGATACATACATATATTGACCTATTGGAATAAATATTCTATAGTTGTTGCTGCCAAGCCATTCCATTAGAAAGCCCCACTAATAATCCTCACTTATAAATTATAACTGCTAGAATAACACCAAATATATTATGAATTGTATGAACTGCACTGTTTGGAAAATATATATGCATCATACCAACATAATCAAATCAAATTGAAATCAATCCTGACCAGTGTCCAGAATTTATGATGCATCACATCATTTAGTGAAAAATCCAATCTGAATTGAATTGTTGTCAAAGCAAACCATTTGCATCCTTGTTGGATCGTGAACACTTTCTCAGTGCATGAGTACAACGACATCTGACTGTAAACGGAAGAAAAGCATAAATACTTACCGTTTCTGAAGTTTATGAAATTATAGTGCACGTAAAAATTCCATTACACACTCCATTATGCAAATAGTGCTTCAGTAAATATGATTCGGTAATGTGGCGTTAATCTCTTTTATGCATGCCCATGAAGCACATTACCAAACATTAATATCACCAATTCAAGATTCACAACATGTGACCACTCTCTCTCTCTCTCTCTCTCTTTTCCTGTCACTGTTGTTTTTTCCCACCTCTCTCTCTGTCTTTCTTACTGAAATGTGGAATTGTCTCAGGTTATGAATACTGATTCTCGCAGAGAGGTCACGTTTTCTCATAGACCAATGTAATTTTATATAGCAACAATTATGCCTGCAGTAATGTGCATGAATAATGCATATGCTACCTGTGTAAGGTAGTTGTAGGGCCACATTAATGTGTGCTAATGGATGCTTGTGGCATTTACTGAGATGCAGCATCTTTGACATTATTAAATCTGAGAGGATGGTGACAGTTTGTTATTAATTAAATTTTTGTTTTTTTCATTTGATATTTTGAAGAATACTGCATAGCATATGGGACATGATACATAACTTATAAAAGGTGTGTTCTATAATTCTTTAATTTAGTTCTACATTTTCAATTTGATCAATTTTATAATTTGAACAGTTCCAGATAATAGGCATACCTATAAATAGCTTAAAAAATAAAATAGCTGTAAATAACACATGGTCGCCTAATGAAGAGTTCACGACTCATGATAAATAACGAACGCAATTACACAGGCAACATAGACTGAAAATGCTACCTTTTATGTCTGACTTGAACAACTGTGCAATGTCATAGGCAGAACAAAGGTGAGTGGGTTTCAAAATATACACCTTAAGTGTATAATGTATTATTACATTGAAACAAACACTGTTATAGCCTCATTTAGAAGCCAGAGAACATTATCGGAAAGACTGACCCTTGGTTAAAAAAAAAAATGTTATTTCACTTTGTTGTTGTTTTTTTTCAGTTTTTATTTAATTTTAGTTTAAATAAATAAAAATAAATACATTTTAAATCTGTAATAGTATTAGCAGGCAGTTTGAACACGGATACTGCAGCTGTGTCTAGTGTTGCATTGATATCAAAATTTTGCATAAAAGTTTCAAATAATACTTTCTTACACAAATGTTGTGTAACATTACACAAAGTTCTTTTCAGAAGAACAACTGAGATGCAACACACTTCATTATTTCCCCACGTCTTCTCTATTGTGTGAATCCAAGAAACCAAAGGGTATTAACAGAACACAGATACCCACCACCCACAGACATAAACACAAATACACACTCACACCCTATAAATTTGTATTCCCCACACTTGAAGTGTTAATTAATAAGAACGTGACTGCAGAATGTACTTGTTGATTTAATTAAGCAATGGTGTGAAAGTATTTGGCTGTGGTATATGGCAGCTGTCTGGACATCTTTCTAGAGACAAAATCATTCACATTGACTGAATACAAAATAATTTAATCTTCTGTGTGGTGAGACCTCAAAGAAATCACAAAAGTAGGAAGTTAATAATAAATCAAGATTATGCTCCTTTTGCTCTACTGTCAGAATTTCTAGACCTGGCTATTGCCTTTGACACAGTGAATAGCAGTAAGCAAACCACTGGACTTGGGGTGCTTCATGGCTCAGTGTTGGGCCCACTTCATTTCCCAATATATGCAATTTGAGTATTGGGCATAATATTATAAGAAATGCATGTTAAGCTTTAAGATTACTTTTTTAAATAACAAGAGATGTAATGTCACATGTTAAATATGATTTTATTCCTGTAATGGCAAAGCTGAATTTTCAACAGCCATTAGGCTACTTCAGTCCTCCTCAGTGTAACATAATCTTTCTGAAATCCAGTCTAGTCCAGTCAAGTTCTGTCATCAGCTTTACCACAGAGCTACTCAGCAGGAAAACAGGAACCTCACACCACAGGTGATGCTCAGCAGAGAGGAAGCGAATTAAGCTGACCCTGAGGTGAATTAACACCCCCGCTGCACACAGGAACCCATCTTAACCTAAATGAATAGGGTGGCGCTCACTGGCTGCAGTATTCTTTCCTAATGATTAGTTATCGTCAGTGTTGCCGAGACTTTTATGCAAAGCAATTTACTAATTGTAGGGAGCATGCTGAGGTTAACTGCCCTGCACTTACAATCATCACGTTTAAAGTGTGGTTTATGGTCAAAGGTATTAGAAAGAAGAACTCCAGATCAAGGTCGTACAGTCAAAGCAGCTTCAACCACGTGAGATTTCTGTATTCAAAGTTCAGAATGCCCAACGTTTACACCATACAATTACACTAACATGCATACTGAAAGAGGTGATTGTGTGAGAATTGAGCCTGCTCACCACTTGCTGCGAAGAATAATAAAGTAAAATCAATGTTGAGTGAGTGTGTGTGTGGATGGCTGCTCTATGCTGCGGTCAAGCCAGCGTAGATGATTCCACAGTGCATCACATCGACTGGCTGCACTCCAGATTACTAATCCTGAACAGCTGCCTGCTGTTAAATTATACACATCGACAGGTGTTAACCACACATACACACAAAACACAAGAACACACATTTATAAACATGCATACATAGACCCACACACATGCATATTTTAGGATATTATATATTGATCTTTGTATGAAAGATTCAGTGGCCTGTGTCATATTATACGTGTGTATGATGCAATCAGACACCACTGATAACAACATTTGTGGGGCATGGCGTGTTTTATGTAAAGCCATAATCTTTCTACGAGCTAATTACTCAGGGTTATAGCTAATTACTAGGAGTTATGGCTGGGTAACCAGGGCAGAATTACACCCTTTCTGGGTTTGCAGAGACAACAAAATGAGGCTTGATTCATCAGGCATATAATCAGAATGTTATTGCTAGATAAAACGTTTTCTTTAATAAAGTAATTAATCAGATTTGTATGGACAAAAAGGATTTGATTAGCACTCCTCCTGATGCACAAGCCATGCATTTTTTTGTGTGTGTGTGGCTGCAATACCTGCTCTGCTCAAAAGGGGGAGCTCTTAGTGAAAGCAGCAGTGGCAGAGGTCCATGAAAACAGATGCCTGTTTGTTACAAGAATCACTGGTTAGATTCTGTTGGGAGTTGAACGATTCTGTCTGCTTCATTTTCAAAAAGTTCCAAGGCTAACGGTAAAAGGTGCTTTCATAATGAAAGCTTATGAATGCGCATTTGCCAAAGGGTAAACATAATTACAACTAAGACCAATAGATTTGCTGAATAAATAATGAATGAAAACAGAGAGTGTGAAAGCTTTTTCCAAATGTATGTTTTTAATGCAACATTATTGTAAAATTGTAACAGAAAGGTCTGCTGACAAAGAGAAAAATCCTTATAAGGTCCCAAGAAATTTTTCACAGTCATGGATAAACCATGGAAAGAGAACCATTCTGGTAAGGGTATTTCAGTGTTCACAATAATGATAACAGAGAACTGGACCACCAACAATAGTTTGTATACACTGTGAAATCTGTATTGATTAAAACATCCTTATGCACACTCACACACGCTCAAACACACATTAAACATTTTCAAATATACAAACAAATCTTGGTTTAATTTTAGGTACATGCAGTGAAATATTGTATAAAAATAGACATTTGTATTGCTTTCTGTACAAACACATACAGTATATACACATATATAAATACGGAGTAAAAAAACATAAAAGGTGTTTACAATCACATTGTGTTCACTTTTGTACGAAAAGACCAAAAAGTCATACCAAGTAAACAATATTAACCGAAATGCTTCCACATGCGACTCAATCAAGGCTACAGCACTGAACTCTCTCCCTTTCTCCTCCTTTAAATGATTAGTTCACTTTACGAAAATAGAGCGAACGAAAAAGAAAGAGACAGGGAAATGTTCTTTAACAGATTGTTGTTTAGCTCTGGCGTACGTCCTGAAGCAATTTGTTAATTTCGGCAACCAGTTCGCTAGCGTCGACAACTTCGTGTCTCGTGTCGTTGCGTTTTCCCTGCCGTTGGCTGAGCACACTCTCTAAGTCGTCCTCTTCGTAGTTCTCTGGGATCTCCTCCATCGCTGGCAGCCATTTTAAATATGCCTGTGATGCTGCGTGATTGGTCGAGCCGTGTCCGCTCGTCACAGCACTACCGGGATTTTGAAAGTGAGTATTGGCCGCCCAAACAGCAACGCCCTGCGGGTAGGCGGGGCCTGTAGATGACGCCTTACCTGGCAGGAAGCCCTTTCTGATCTCCATGCCGATGGAGGAAGTGGGAGGGCCAGCACATCCTTCGAGCTCATTGACCTCAGCGTAAGAAGTTGGCAGGAGACGTTGGAAGACGTTGTTAATTTCTGACAGCAGCGAACCGCCGCATTCCTCCTCATTGTCCTTTCCGAAGGTAGAAAAGCTCTTCTTAGCTGAGTCGACTGACTGTTGGTCCTCCTCGAGGACCTGAGGCCTGCTCTCTTCTCCAGGGATGTACATGTTCGCACGGTAATCCGAAGACGCCTGAGATGGCATCCAGCACTGGTCAGAGTGACCCAACACACGGCACTCCTCCGTACACAATTTCATGACTGCAGAGAGAAAGACAGACAGACATTGAGTCAGTGAATTTTAGGAGTAATGAAGAGCGAAATCAATCAAACTTGAATTGTAAACATCAGAACTGTCATTTTTAAACTGTTTTGTAATATTTCTCATGGACAGACAAAAGATTGAATGAAAAGAAAATGAAGACTTTAGCTCAAGTCTTATGTTTTTGTCTTTTTTTTTTTTTCCTGAGAAAATCACTCCAAAAATCTCACGTGTGAGATTAAAGGTTCTAATAGGGGCTTTTCACCAAACTTTTTCTTAATATGAAGATCATTTTCATAATCAGAAGAACCTTGTGTGCATTGAAGGGGCTCTGTGAATGTTAAAGTTTCTTCATGGATACCAATATAGAACCTTTAGTGTAGTATTTCTGAAGAGAAATTTACAATGTCTCAATGTCTGTCAATTTCTGTTAATCAAAAGATATTTCAATATTAAATCCAACATTTCTCATTTACTTCTTCCGAGACCACATTATCTACTATACTTCTCATCCACTCTCTAAATAGTTTCTACTTTTATTAGACATTTTAAGAGAAACCTCTGAGACAAATTTGATACTGTACTTAAATGAACCATAAATCTCCTGAGCTATGAAAGAGCAACTTCTGAGCAATTAAATTTTCTCTGGGCATGTGAAAAATGGCAGAAAGGAAAGTGAAGAAAACAAAGGGATCAAAGAGAATGGGAAAACGAAGAGGGATGGTAAGGTTAGGAAGTTACAGAAAGGATTTCAGAGGTAGGTGGGTGGGTGAGTTGGGGAGGGAACTTAAGAAACTGAGGAGATTGAGAGTTTGTCATTCTTCCATTCCAGCTTCTCTTGTGAAGGCTGACATCCTTTGTTAAGCTGGATTATTATTCATTACGTTGGCAACGCCGCCTATTTTACGAATCAGATATGACTGCATTTGAATATTAGAGACAAAGCAGCGAGGGAATAAAAATGGAGAGGACAAACTGGAATTGGGAAGGAGGAAAAGCAACTGAGCGAAAATTACAATAAACCGCTTTGGTGAGGAAAGGGTGAAACTCTAATCGATGCACACAGGTTGCTTCTTTCTCTCTATGAAAGAGGAAGAGCAGGGCTGAAATAGCGGCCCTCTGGGGAGAGAAAAGAGAGTGTGTGCGTGTGGAAGGGGGGGTTTAACTGCATTGTGAAAGCAATTACGGTGAATTTTCCTCAGTTCAAATTTTGAAAGCATAGGGCTGTCACTCAGAGAAGAGAATGAATACAGGGAAATAACACTCCAGTCCACGCCTCCACACATGCACATAGTCTTAAGCTACTGATAAAACAGACTGACACTGCAAAAGGTAGTGGTTACAAACATAACATGATTTCAACTAAGAACCAGATAATTTAAAGGTTTTTTCCTTAATTTTCACATCCATATTGAGTATAAAAGCATAGTCAGATAATTTAAAGGCTTTTTCCTTAATTTTCACATCCATATTGAGTATAAAAGCATATTGCAGGTCATTTAATTTACACCTGTTCACAACGTAATATTAGACAGGGTGTTAAACGCCATAATAAACACAATGTGCTCTATATAATCAATCTGATGAATGTCATAATTCAGGGTGATAAAAAGGTGAGAAACCACATGAGAGACCAATCGGACTTCCTTTCTCACCTGGGTGGAGACGGTGGTGTCCGTCGTTGTGGAAGAGGTCTCCAAACCCGTCGCCTAGCAACCGGTCGATGGGCGAATCACGGCCCATCTCACAGTCGCTGTCGCCCGCATCACTGTCGCCACGCCCACTATCTTTTAGACTGAACTTATCCATGTCCTGGAGGGCGTACCTGCACACACATTCACACAAACACAGTTACAGGTTTATCATGATGCTATAGAGTATGCAAGTATAAAATATAGGCTAATTATTAAAAACGATATACAGCATTCAAGTTACATCAACCACCAAACTACAAAAAGCATCCATTTAAAAGTGATTTGTCAGAGAAATCAAACATAGAGTATGACACATTAAGAGTGGCATTATATGTTTGATTGCATTAAACTTCAAGTTTCCCAAATGCATCTCTATGCATTGCATACAGTCTATGAACATGCATGTGCAAAGCAGGCAAGCATATGCCCCACCCATCAATTTAACTTGCACAGACTATATCTACTTTATTTAACCATCATATAAACAGATCTATTCAGTGATGTCTCTTTGGCACCATGCATTTATCTCACACCCAAAATGTCTCTTAAATATTTTGATTCACATCAGCAGAGGCGTGCAGGACAAAAAAGTGCAAATATCTAAAGCTAGTATGTTTTTAAATCACCATATTGACATTGAAATGCATCATTGTATGGAACAATGGTTTCAACAATATGCACGGAGTAAAATGACATGATCCAAGAACAGAACGCAGATGAGAGGAAAGAAAAAAAGCACAGAAAGCAAGCTATGACCTCATGTGAGGAGCAGTCCAATCAGGATCTGCAAACGTGGGTGACCACGGCAACAGGGAAGTTCTGTCCTATTCTACCACAAACATTTTAGAATACCTATCATCCAATCCGATCTAACCAGCAGCACACAACAGGTTGAGTATCACTACCCATCTACTCTACTATACTATTTAGAGCACATCATGCCCAAATATGGAGTTGGAGCTGGGAGCGTAGTATTTGTTTGTTTGTAAGTTTACCTGTAGCTGCGAGAGTATTTGTTCCCTCTGAAGCTGGGCCGCGGCTGATACTGACCCTGATGGAGTATTGAGAGGAGCTGTGAGACTTGCTATAGCAAAAACAGATGACATAAATAAAAATAAATACTGATGGAACACGACACTCGTTCACACACGCACGCACACGAATGAAAAAATTAAAACTGTTAGTGCGAGAACAACACACGTGATGACGTGAATGTTATGTTGACTGGTGAATGAAAAGATGAGTATAAACATGGACAGAGAATTCACAAGCTCTTTATGAAGATTAGCATCAATTACACTGTTTGAATATGCAAGTTTTGCTTTTACCTCAACAGGGGGCGTGGCATGTGTCATTTCCAGGGCGAAGTTCTCAAGGATGTGATTGGAGGAAATAGTGACCAAGCTGTTCAGTGATTGGCGAAATCAAACATAGAGTATGACACATTAAGAGTGGCATTATATGTTTGATTGCATTAAACTTCAAGTTTCCCAAATGCATCTCTATGCATTGCATACAGTCTATGAACATGCATGTGCAAAGCAGGCAAGCATATGCCCCACCCATCAATTTAACTTGCACAGACTATATCTACTTTATTTAACCATCATATAAACAGATCTATTCAGTGATGTCTCTTTGGCACCATGCATTTATCTCACACCCAAAATGTCTCTTAAATATTTTGATTCACATCAGCAGAGGCGTGCAGGACAAAAAAGTGCAAATATCTAAAGCTAGTATGTTTTTAAATCATCAACTGGACATTGAAATGCATTATTGTATGGAACAATGGTTTCAACAATATGCACGGGATAAAATGACATGATCCAAGAACAAAACGCAGATGAGAGGAAAGAAAAAAAAGCACAGAAAGCAAGCTATGACCTCATGTGAGGAGCAGTCCAATCAGGATCTGCAAACGTGGGTGACCACGGCAACAGGGAAGTTCTGTCCTATTCTACCACAAACATTTTAGAATACCTATCATCCAATCCGATCTAACCAGCAGCACACAACAGGTTGAGTATCACTACCCATCTACTCTACTATACTATTTAGAGCACATCATGCCCAAATATGGAGTTGGAGCTGGGAGCGTAGTATTTGTTTGTTTGTAAGTTTACCTGTAGCTGCGAGAGTATTTGTTCCCTCTGAAGCTGGGCCGCGGCTGATACTGACCCTGATGGAGTATTGAGAGGAGCTGTGAGACTTGCTATAGCAAAAACAGATGACATAAATAAAAATAAATACTGATGGAACACGACACTCGTTCACACACGCACGCACACGAATGAAAAAATTAAAACTGTTAGTGCGAGAACAACACACGTGATGACGTGAATGTTATGTTGACTGGTGAATGAAAAGATGAGTATAAACATGGACAGAGAATTCACAAGCTCTTTATGAAGATTAGCATCAATTACACTGTTTGAATATGCAAGTTTTGCTTTTACCTCAACAGGGGGCGTGGCATGTGTCATTTCCAGGGCGAAGTTCTCAAGGATGTGATTGGAGGAAATAGTGACCAAGCTGTTCAGTGATTGGCGGCTGTGTTGGCTCTGCCGGCTGCCCATGTGGGCCCGTTCAGGTCCGGGCGAGGAGGTTGGTGAGTGATGGTGTGCACGGATTGGGAGGGTCCCGTTGACGGTGGGCACCAGGGTGATGTCGCCCTTATGGATCTGACGTGAGGGTTTTTTAGGGTGCTGTTGATAAGTAGACTCAGCCACCCTGCAGTTGTATGAGCGAGTGTCGTTCTTTTCGCGTGAGCAGCGAAGGGCAAAGGCCACCATGATGAGGAGCAGAATGGCGCAGATCACCCCAAGGGAGATGATGATGATCATAGACACGTCTAGAGGGCCGTCACCGGTTCCTCCACCTGTCAGATGGGGATTCATGTGGTTCTCAATGTTTTCATAAAGCGAAAGTCTTAGTAGGGCTCTGGCGCTGAGGGGTTGAGCACCATGGTCCTGCACGAGTACGGTCAGCTCCACGTGATCCTGTGGGACGTCCTGCATGCTGACGTTGGTCCGAATTTCACATGTTTTAGCATCCATGGCAAAGTAACCTGCCTCGTTGCCCCCTACTACAGAACATGACAGGTCACCGTTGGTGCCAGCATCACGGTCTATCGCGCGGACTACAGTTACAACGTCACCGATCTCTGCGTATTTGGATACTGGAACATCAGCTGTGTGGTTCCACAGCTGAGGCATCATGATGACCGGACTGTTATCGTTCTCATCTAAGACGGTCAACACAATGGTCACATTACTACGCAGCGGAAGACTTCCAGAATCCCGGGCCTGGACTAAGAACGAGATCTGACTCACATCTTCACGATCAAACGTACGTAGCGCATAAATGTCTCCATTAGAGGGGTCAATAGTTACATAAGTGGAGATGGAGCTCCCATGGACTGTACTTTCAAGTATAGAGTAGCTCACTTGACCATTCGGGCCCAGGTCTGGGTCTGAGGCCCTCACAGATGACAGATAAGCTCCTGGTGAGTTGTTCTCCACCTGGGAAATCTCATACCTGCTTTTCTCAAACTTTGGCACGTTGTCATTCTCATCCTGGACCTGCACAGTGAAGTGTTTGATGGTTGATAGACTTGGAGAGCCTTTGTCTTCAGCTATAACTGTCAAGCTGTACTCGGACCTCTTCTCTCGGTCCAGAGTGACGTTGGTAAGGATCATGTAGTTCTTCTCATATGTCTTTTGCAGCCTGAAATGACCCTGGCCATGGAGACGGCACTCCACCTCTCCATTCAACCCAGAGTCCAGGTCATCTACCCTCACCAGAGCCGCAAATGTATCTACAGGAGCTGTCTCTGATATATAAGCTATCTCCTCGTTCCCAGTGGACATCAAATTGATGCTAATGTCAGGTTTGTTGTCATTCACGTCCACCACTTTTATTATGACTTTACAGTGTGCTGGCATTGAGTTAGGGCCCATGTCTTGAGCTTGAACATCTATGTCATACGAATTTGTGCTTTCAAAGTCAACTTTCCTCATTAGTGTCAAATGACCATTATCAGAATTAATCTTAAACGTCTCTAGAATTTTAGGTGACACGTGACTGCTAAAAGAATATACAATTTTACCATTGGTCCCTTCATCTGGGTCAGTGGCATTCAGATCAATAAGCAAACTGCCTAAAGGGGAATTTTCAAGCAAGTTGATCACATAAGATGGCTTCTCAAACACCGGATTGTTGTCGTTCGAGTCAGCTATGCTGATTTTCAGGAGCGTTGTTCCAAATTTTGGGGGAACGCCCCTGTCTGAGGCGGTGAGCTGGAGTTCATAGCTCGCTCTCACCTCTCTATCCAGCTCTTTAAGCACAACGAGCTCCGCGTACTTGGCGCCATCGGTTCGGGTTAGAATATCAATCATAAAGAAGTCAGACGGGGTCAGAGAGTATGTGTTCAATGAGTTCTCTCCGACGTCTGGATCGGTGGCGCTGTCAAGGGGAATGCGCGACCCCACAGCGGCGGTTTCGGAGATCTCTATGGGAATGACGGGGCGCGCGAACTGTGGCGCATTGTCGTTAATGTCCAAAATTTCCACTTCGATGTGGAACAGCTGTAGGTGATCCGTGGGGAGGGTGAGGACGTCAAATTCGATAGTGCAGTTTAGATTTTTCTCGCACAGTTTCTCGCGGTCAATTTTGGTCCTGATGCTGATCTCTCCATCCTGGTCGCGCACGGAGAGAAGAGACGCGCTGCCGCGCTGCATGGCTCTAAAGCGTAACGGAATCGTGCTCGGAAGTTTGGACAAAACATCAGCGACATCTTCTCGAAGTCTGGCGATTACTGTACCCACCTTCTGCTCTTCGTAAACTTGGTATTTCAGAGTTTTAGCCGAGACGTACCGTGCCAATGTCACGAGCACAGCAAGTTTGAGTAAAGTGGCACAGAACACTGTGCCCTTGCTGCTATCCATGTTGGGTTCCGACAGGCACTGAAATAAACTCTCAAAATGATTGTCGCTTCCTTTGTTGAGCTGTCTCAATCCTTTACATGCGTTGTTATGGTCTCAAAAACATCTCCAAATCCGAAAGAAAAGCGTCTTCTCAAAAGGTTCCGACGTCAAAAACAGGTCTTGAAAAATGAACAGAGCGCAAGTGCTTAAAACAAGCAATGACATTAAATGCAAAAGCGCATATCCCTCTGTCACTAAGGAGAAATCTGTTGCGCGTATCAAGAGACTGGAAGCGCAACCTCCGTCTGGAGATCCTGTGCGCGCGTGTATCTGTCTTCCGCTGTCTGAAGACACTCTTTGACCGACTAACACAAAATAGCAAAGCCTCATTTACAGCCACGGCTTCAGACAAAACGCTTCTCCTAAATCAACGGCTGCCCCCTTCTCTCTGCGACTGACCATTCAACACAGAGCCACTACAGAACCCAATTAAATGAAGGGGAGAAAGGAAGTGGATAACTCCGCCCTTTAGGGTCTTTCTCTCACCCCTCTCTCTCCCTCTCCTGAACGCGCTTCAACAAAGGATGAGAGAGCAGAATTTAAGAATGTCTCGAGCTGAACTTTCCCTCTAGATGACTGTCAATCCAATTTATTCACGTAATATTTACCTCTGTTGTTTTGGTTAAGCATTGTAGAATTTCTTTTTGGCAAATTTGTGCAGCTACAGAAAAGATATATTCATAATATGGCCTCATTTATGAATCTGTGTTGGGTAAGAACCGTTCTGTTTAAACATCTGTAACTCAGTATTTTGTAAACCCTTAATATATAAAATAAATGTGAATATTTATAACATTCCTATACTTTTCTCATGTGAGCTAGTTTAGAAAGCTTATGCATTCCTAACTTGTGTAAATTAACATAAAATATGATGCTGTGTAAAAATTAAAAGATATGTACCATTTAGGGATCCCAAAATCATTAGCCTACCCTGGAGAACCTATAGGCATCTTTAAAGGGAGAGGAACTTGCAAGATTCCTGCAAGAATTCCAAAAATACTAATGTGATGTAAGAGATACCTTCTAGAAGTTGCCTAAATGTTCTCTATAGGGTTCTGATAGTGTGGTAATCTGGAGAACCTCAGAGAGTGTGGTGGATTGTAACACCAAATGAAAACATTGCCATTGATTATCATGCACAGAGGGCATTGTGCTGCTCTGACATATAAAGGGCTGTTGTGCTTGTGGGGTCCTGGGTTCAAGTCATGTCTTAGTCCTGTTCCTTCTCTTGCTCCTTGCTATTTACTTCTCCATCATCCTAAAATATATAAGCAGTTAAATAAATGAATACAAATGCAATCAAATAAAAATGGGAAGCACATAGAAGATCAAAATTCTAAATACATATTGTATCCACAGAAGTACAATGGAAAAGAAAGTGTTACAATCCTTCCCATCTGGTCAGCTAATATTTCTAATTTAATATGTAGATGAAAACTTTGCGTGAATGCTAAGTATGGATGTTGTGTATATCAAATTAAACAGGATAACCTGCTGATTCAGATACCAGTTCTTTAACATCCATTAATATTATCAAGACAGACATTCTACCTTCTTAACTCAGAATTATGCTTTCCCACATGAATCATACAACTTCTACATTAATCTCATGGAAGTGGTGCACATCTGATTTCATAATTGGTTAAAGTGGTGTTAAAACACTCCTACATCAGTTATACATACATCAGGTCATTCGTTTTGGAGGACTGGACCAGTCTTTGCATCAGGTGTCGAATATGCTTCAAAAACTGCTTAAGTGCCTTTCTTAAATCCTTTTAGTATCACCCGCTTTCCCTTGTTGGGGTTCAAGTATTCTCACGCGCTACCGACTCCTCATCTGCCATATATATTTAAGCTTAAGCTGTGTGTCGAATCACTTGTTCTGATGAATGAGTGAAAAACTCGCTCACGCGCACAAACAGCTCTGCTCACGTGAATAATGCGGTTTTTACATCGCGTGCATGTCTTTTGCTGTGGTTCCAGCAAAATATATTAACCTAACATCCATGTAAGCGCTTAAAAATGTGCACAGTCTGGACCGGGTCGTCTGGACCAGGTCATTTGCATTTGCGCATGGGTCACGGTTCCTTTTTGAGAGAAAGCTTTCTCCTAGTCTAAATTAGAGAGGGAAATTAGTTCAGTTTGAAAGTGTAAAAACGGGGACAATTCAATTGCTCTATCACGCTCACGGGCAAACGGATGAATAAAATACATTAAATGGCCTATTTCCTGACTCTCACTCAAATTCCCATGGTGATATGTTCACCCGTGGAAATGTAGCCAACCATATCAAACCCACAGAAGTTGGGCTTGGATTAATAAAAAGCCCTTTGGCGACAGATTTGACACAAATGCTGCTCCTCTTTTCCCAAGTCTGGAGTTCCATGTGCTTTAACAAACCAAGAGGGCCCATACTGAGACACTGGGGTATTCTGGCGACTGTTTGGGAAAGTGATTACACATTTCAGCGTTACCAGAAGGCGCACGTTTGACCCCGCTGCTTTCTTTTGTTTAGTTTATTCTTTTCATAAGACACCGTGTTTGCGAATCGTCTGCGTTTCGCCCAGCCAATTTTAGCAGAGCGACTTTAACCAGGTTTGATACGGCCGAGCGCTCTCTTTGGCTCCGAAGCCTTAATGCAATTACCTCTGCTCTAATCACATTGCCTGAACAAAGACGTCAAAGTCTTTGCTGAATTTCGGGGGTTCTGGAATGCCCGCAGTGTTGCATGAAAAATCACACAGTCTAAAAGAAGTGAGATAAGTAAAAGCAGATGCACAAGGTAATGCACTTAGACACGGTTTGGCTTTAAACAAAAAAGCGAGAGAGAGAGAAAAAAAAGCCTCATCTGACAGAACCTATTTAAACTAGCGAACAATGCGATAATGAAACTAAAACATTTAAGTGAAAACCAACTTGTGAGACAGGTGCAACACTTACATTTTTAGCTTCCAAAAAATAATGTATATTAATGACTCAAATGGCATAATGAACAAGTCAACGAGCAAAGAACATCTGCATTTTTGCTGCTAGTACAACTTTACACACCATACGGGGCCACTGCGTCTCAGTCTCCCTGACAGAGGCGCTTCCCTCGCATGTGCCATAAAACTAGGCCACGGATTCAACTTTTGTCATTGATATCCTGTCCTTCCCCAGCCAAACAATGGCCGCAGCAGGTGGAACGTAAGCCAAATGATGTTTGCTTCCAAACTCGCGCTCGAACTTTGCTTTTAGTGTCGCTGGAATGCGCGTGAACGAGCGCCCGCTGCCGTGGTAAAGGCACGCGAGCATCTGTCGCCTCGTCTGTCTCATCTCATTATCCCTCATTCGATTAGCGCTTTCTCCTTCAAGGTGGGCTGCGCCTTCTCGCTTTCTCAATAGACCCCCGGTCACAAAGGTCTCTGACAATGTACATTGTTATTCATACCAGGCCAAAGAGCAAACTTAGTCCTCTCCCCCCGGTTGGAACGGACTTTTACTGCTTTATGAGTCATTGAGCGGGATAACAAGACTCAAGAGTCTGTTTGCTCGCGTGATGCATGTAGTGCGCGTTCTTAAAAACACCATATTGAGCTTCGTGTCGCGGTGAGGGGGACACATTTATTGCTGTTCTTTAACAGTAGCCCACTATGGTAATCCAGCCCTGCTATAAAACCACAAGTTTGTGTATGTAGCCTACTGGCTAATTTGTGGAAATGATATGACAGCTGCACTCGAGGTCCAGCCTCAGCTACAGTGTTGCTAATATTGCCAGTGAGAGTTTATGCTTACGGTGCAGAGAGAGCTTAATATTGTCCATTAATATCTGACTGAAATCAAAGTTTGCATTTTGTATGAATGAAAAGCCTTGCGTACATATTTGAATTAGTTCCCAAGTCAAAAATCCTTAAGGAAAGTGATAAGGATCCCTGCTGAAAATCTATAATACTTTCTGGAATTAAACCTAAAGTATTCTAATATGATAAAACAAGACCCTACTGTATTAAATGAAATAGTCACAGGGTTTTTTCAGATCTTGTTTTAAAACAATCTCCTGCTGCTATACAGTTAAAATAAATTATATCAGGAACTAAGAATTCAGTTAGTGAATTGAACTGAATTCCCC